GGAGCAAAACAGCTCAACACAGAGTGAAGATGTGAAAAAAAAATGGTAGAAAGGTTTTTTGTGTGTGTGTGTGTGTGTGTGTGTGTGGTGTAGAACGGTGAGCGGGGTGGATCCTTGATAGGAATAAAACAAGGGTGTTGTGCAAGCTGGATGGCAAGAATGGTACAAGGTTGTTGGAGCAGAAAAATCAGTGAGGTGGTGTTAAATCTGTGTTTTGTTTTGTGTTTTCGTTTTTTTTTTTTTTTGACTCATACCCATGTTCTCCGGATGGAAGGCTAAAAAAAGAGAGAGGTAGTGTGAGAAAATAAAGTATAAAAGAAAATAAAGTTGAAGAGAAGTGTGTGAATAAAGTTGAAGATAAAAATAAAAAGAAAAGGTGAGATTCAAATTTGTTTGGGCGGGTCCTACCACTAATGGAAAAGTAAGATGATGGGTGTGCAAACTAGTTTGTGTTTCGTTTTCTTTTCAAAGGATGGAGTAAAATATATTAAAAAAAAAAGGAAAAGAAAGGTGAGTGGGGAACATGAGTGTGAGGAAAGAATGAAAAAGAAAAAGTATGGGTTGGAGAATCTGAGCATCGGAGAAGAGGAGAGGAAGAGGAAGTGGAGACCATGATGACATATATAGGGCTTGATTGAAATGAGGTTTCAGGACTCAGATTTACAGTTCCGGCGAACGATTCGTCGAGGAAGTTGTTCGAGAACCACAACGAGTCATCGACGAAGTCCGAGAGCCATTCTAGCTCAGCTACAACATCACTAGGGACGCAGAGGTCGTCGGTGAAATCAGTGTACTGATTGGGATTGGGAGCATGCTGTTGTTTGAGGAAGTGAGGTGGTGGTGTTTGGTTGGTGTAAACGCAATGGTGAACGTGACGCTATGTTCACAGGTAACACTTATGTTCACAGGTATGAACGTGACGCTACCACCAGACAACTACTTGATCCACTACACAGCAGGAAGCATCACATGTCAAGCCATGGCAGCAGTGCCTGACAATGTCAACCCAGTCCTCAATGTCATTGCCAAGATGCAGCAACAAAACCAGAGACTTCACGGGGGTGCGAAGGAGGATCTCGCTCAAGGCATCGTCGTTGCCGGCGATTGCGTGGGCTGATGATGGCGGCGACCCTAGTCGGCTTTCGCGGGGTGTTTGAACCTTGGTAGATCGGCTATGGCAACACTTACCGTGAGCGACGGAGAAGGTGACGATCTTAGCTCCACCGCCGGCTTGTCGTCAAGCTTCTCTGGTGCTGAGATTGTGAGTGTGAGGAGGGAATCCTCTGCGTCGGAGTGTTCGGTAGAGGTGGGTTTGGAAGCTAGGGTCCCATAGGTTAAGGTACATTTGGCAAGATCATGTATTCAAATGGATGATGGTGATGATGCTTTGATCTTGAAGGTGAAGTTCTGCCATGGAATTTGTTAGAAACTACTGCAGCAGCAACAATAAGAAGATCAAGATCAAGAAGAAGAATTTGTGGCAGCGGAGTGAAGGTATGTGTAGAGGTCCGGCGGGCGGCCAAGGCGAGACTGCCACCCACCGGTGAAGCAGAATGACTAGGTCCTTAACCTAGCTCTGATACCATGTTAGAATTCAATGTATAAAGAAAGAGAGAGAATAAATTATGTGTATTCAATTGATATTAATTTATGTAATGTTATTGTTCAGTGGCTCCTTTATATAGGTGAAGGTTACAGACAATACATGTTTGAGCTCATGATGGAAAGTGAAGCACTAGCACCGAAAGGGAGGCTCACTATCTACTAATATATTATATACTCTAACAAATTTTTGTGTGTGTGTGTGTGAGAGAGAGAGAGAGAGATAAGTAAATGAAGTATTACTTCTATATTGACTCTAGATAGATTGGTAAAATTAAAAAGAAGGAAATATATCATCCTATGACATTTGGCTATCTCAATTTCACACATGATTTGACTAGTAAATTCGTTATTGAGGCTTGAAACATGAATCTAACAAAAGTAGAGCCTTTGAAGCATAAATGTGTCTCTATGTCACTCTGCTTAGGCCGTTCCAATTGTTGATCCTCTAGTTAAAGCATCAAAACCTCTAAATCTGTATTCATATTCTTTTATCTACCTAATAATTGCAGTTCTAAAATAGATATCTGAGCATCACCAGTCCTAAGAGCGTATCCACTACAAGAATATCAACCTTCCCCAATCAACTCCCCTTGACACATGTTCAAGAACTTTCACACCTGCAAGAACAACATCAACATAAGTTTTGGATAAAGAACAAAAATTAATAGTAAAATACTTTTAACAGGTTAACTTTTTTTTTAAAAAAAATCACTAAATCCTTCAAACGGAGTTACAATTTGAAGCCCAAATACTTCGAATCACATATGTACAATAAAATAAGAAAGGGGAAGTAACATGTAAGGGAAGACAAGAAACCCCATTGATAAACACACCTGATTCCATAGTTTTCAAGAAGCAGTAGAAAATATCATAACATAATTCAAAAGGTACCAACTATATCTAATCCAGCACCAACGTGACACAAGCAAAGAATATTCACATTAAAATGTGAACAAGAAAGGGATATTAAATTAACTAGTAAAATATGAGCAATAAATTAAAAGCAAATCTATATCACTTAGAACAACGCTTAGCAATTCACTATCATGCATTATAGTACTTCACATCATTGACACCATAGATTTTGGAACAAGTCAGGAAGGGTTCAGATGATTAAAAAACTATCTTTATTAACTTTAGGCCTGCCATTGAGTTTCATCATGGTTGGAATAGATGACCCATACACATTAGCATCAAGTAGCCTAACATTAAATTGACACTTATTGAAAAGTTCCATGGATAAATTAACAGGAAATCCCACAAAATATACAAAGGTACATTTGTAATCTTAAGTACAAAATTTTAGAAGGCACTTCACCCAAAATAACATTAATCAGAAGGCACTTCGCTCAAAATACATTAAAATTGCAAGATGTTTATATGGAATATGGAGTGATAGTATTAGTTCCTTGATACAGAGATAAGAGAAAGTTTAAGATATTGTTATTTTAACATGCTTCATAATTTTCCACTTTAAACTCCTTGCTTGCGCTGAGTTAAATCTCGAATGGATAATGGACATCATAAACTTTGTATTAAGTAGCCCACAACTACATTTCTACTCCCACAAGAACTTTACATGGTATAATCCCCAAACTATCCAAAATAAATAACACAATCAAACAAGAGAATATCATAAAAAAGGGGGAATCTAAACATTTTCTCTAATGAATGGTATCATGAACTAAATGTTAATCTAAAACAGCTCCAGATGACGGAATAGTTTTTTGTTCTTTTTCCACATGATACTGTTTTCAATCTAATAATTTTCTGCTCGAATCCATGTCAGGTCAAGATTCATAATCACTGTCATAGATAGCTCATCTTGATGACTTTTAATAGTATAGAGTTTAATTCAATGCATGACCTTTTTAATTAAAAGTTACGGTATATGCAGAAATGAAGCATTTTAAGATGTACCAATCCTATGTGAAATGTTGAGAAACTATAAAAACAAGACATGATACCTCCCAAGAATACCCATTTATAGAATGTCATGATTAAGACGGAACTCGAGATTGATCTGTGAATATGTTTTTCTAATTATTTTCCTTATAATTTTCTTTTGTTCTCTGTAGGACCATCATAGCATATGACAATGGAATTGTTGGCATGACAATGGAACAAACAATGGCCTACAACCACCTCCCATTCAAAAAAACAAAAAAACAAAAAAACAATCCTACTGAAAACATCCATGTCCAAATATTATTGGTGGTTTAAATCTTGTTATTTTTTTGATAACCAATCACATCTAACCATTTATAATTTTAGTAAGATTGTTAGTATGCATAGAATTATTCATTAAAAGCCAATAAGCTAAATTAGAAATCACAATCAATTAAAACCCATAAATTAAGCTCCTAAATACATAAAACATGGTATGAAATTTATATTAACAATTCCACCTTCAAATGTATAGAATCACATTCCTACAATGACCAAATTATATGAATCAACTTTAACTATTCAAAGAAAAATAAATAAATTCAACTTTAGTCTTTTGGTGCACATGTGTAAAGATAGTCCCAAGAAATCATAGCTGGCCACCTTCTATTTGTATATATATATATATTCCACTATGTAAGCCCCCTTCTCATGTGTAGACAATAAACAAATCAAACAAACCTGGTAGTGTTTTTCTCCGCATTTCTTGGAGTGAATTTCCTATGCTTTGAAAACCAAAATCCACAAAACAGAAAATAAAATTAAAAATTTGCTAAAACAGATTTTTTCAAAAATGTAACGAAACAATTCAGTACATCATAAATTGTAGGGCATAAATATTTTCATATTATATAACCCTAATTTTTCTTCATTGGCTTTCACTGTAATTCTTTGAGCTCTAAACAAATCAAGCAAAATTTGGCACTATTTTCTCTAAATTTCTTGGATTGCAACCTATCTTTTCGTTTCAAAACCAAAACTCATAGAAGATAAAAGAATTATAGGATTGAGTTTGACGGAGGAATATTTATTACCTAGGTGAGTAATATTTATCCACATTCTCAAAATATAAAAATACAAATCATATTAACAAAAACAAAACAAATCAATGTTAAATTCGAAAACAGAGCTTAACCCATATATCATTTGAAACAAAAAGTAGCATCCAATGATATTCACATCAATATACAGATCAATCGAATGAAAGATCCAAGCTTGCAATAACAAATTAAATTGAAAAATTAAAAAAGAAATAAATCAAAAATACCTTATGAATGAGAGGCAGAGGAGGAGGCTTTTGGGTATCTTTCAGTGAGAGAGAAGAGGGAAAGATTCAACACAATTTGAAATCTTCAGGGGTTTGATGGGTCTATTTAGAGTAGAAAATTATGGGTTTTTCTTAATTTATTTTTTTTATATATTATAAAAATCAATTGGTTTATTATAGAGATCTAAGAAATATAATTTATATCTTGTTTTTATTTCTAAATATACAAAATGTTTTTTTTGCAGGAAGCAGTGAACAAATATGGCCACATGTGGGCATATCGACTTACCCACAACGAGCACCAACCGATAAAACTTGTCTTCTCCAAAAAAAATATGAAGAACAATAACAGAGAGAGGGCAGATAGCAGCGACCATAGAGAGGGTCACGATCGGTGCTGCTCGCGATCGGCTATGCAAGAGACGAAGGGGCTGCGTCGTTCGAGTGAGTGTAGTCAGCGGCACCCTCTCTGTGGTCGGCAACGAAATAGAGCGAGAGGGAGAAAGGAAGAGAGGGAGAGAGAGAAGGAGAAGAAGAGAAGACATACCTTTTGTTGTTTGAGGTCTTGAGAGAGAGAGAGAGAGAGAGAGAGAGAATGAGATGGAGCTTCAAGGGTCAATTACTTCTTTATTCACACAGACAACTACCTCTGGCAATTAAAAATTAGGGCAAATACCAAACAGTCTAGTTTTGATAAATTAATTATTGGCGACAAAATTAATTAGGTCGCCATAAATGTCATTTACATTTTCTGTGACTAAGCAATGGGTGTCGCCAAAAACAATACATTTGGCAACTAAATGTTTCATCGCCGTATATTAGTTTGGTCATAGAAACTTTTTCATTGCTCCCGTGCATAAATTTGACTTCCCGCAAAACTCAACGCGACCAAATACTTAGTTGGTCGCCAATAGTTTAGTTTTTGCCGACCAAAACATATATAGTCGCCAATTATGTACATTTGACAACAAATTTCTATTTTAGTTGCCAAAAAGCGTCGCCAAAAATATTTTTTGTTGTAGTGATAGGAAAGTTCAACGGAGCAAAAACAGAAGCGCTTGGTCCAGGGACGCTTGGTTGAGATTCAAGGGCGACAGAACCGATTATCTCTATTGTGGACTCATTTAGGTCTGGAAAAAGGATGGGCGAACTACGAGAAGAGGAGCACAAGCAAGGGGTTGCAGAGTGGACAAAAGGTGTTGCAGAGTTTGTCATTTTGGTTTGCTTTCAATCTCTAACCAGCCTCAGCCTCAGCCTCGGTTGAAATAGACAATGCAGAGACTAAGATGACAAAATGGGAGCACGAGCCGAGGCAAACATGATGCTCTATCGGTCACGTGCATCGCATGCCACTCGACGCCACAGTGTCAGGCGCGACTTTTGAAGGCGGGGTGCGCCTTTTGAAAACCGGCGCGACTTTTGAGGGGGCAATATATATATATGTATATCTTTTGGGTAGCCTATATACATGACCATACAGTGTCTTCAACATCGGTCTGACACGACCATACAGTGTCTTCTATAACGGTCCGACATGACGATACAATGTCTTCTACAACGGTTCGACATGATCACACAGTGTCTTCTACAACGGTTCGACACGATCATACAGTGTCTTCTACAGCGGTTCGATGCGACCTCATAGTGTCTTTTACACCGGTCCAACATGAGCCATACAGTGTCTGCTACACCGGTCTGCCACAACCATACAGTCTCTTTTACAACGGTCTAACACGACCATACAGTGTCTTCTACAACGATCTGACATGACCACACAGTGTCTTCTACATCGGTTCAACACGACCATACAGTGTCTTCTACAATCGGTCTGACACGACCACACAGTGTCTCCTATCCTATTTTATTTTTAGTTTATTTTCACGTTTTGTTACTCTTTCCAAACTCAAGTTGGTTTGTACCTATCCTCCTTGAGTTTGAAGGGGGATGTTAGAGTATATTAGTTATTAGTGTGTATCCATTCCCCTTTCGGTGGCCCTTTCCCCTTTCAGTGACCACTTTCCCTTTAAGCCATGATGTTAGGCCATGATGTTGTTTTGTATAGTGTATATACCACTTAGGCCATTTTCTCCTATATAAAGGAGACCATGTATAACATCAATATATACACAATTTATTCTCGCTGTATACATAATTCTATCATTATGGAAGTCAGGTATCTGAGAGAAAATAACCAGAACTGCTCCAAATAGCAACATATATAGACTGTCTCCATATTCTCATGGAGCATTGTACCCTTCCTTGTGATAACAGTTTGATTTCTGAATTGCTCTGCAACAACTAATTAAGTACAGATTACTGAAAAAGAAATATTAACTACTTGAAAGTTGCAGAATAGAAATAAACCAAAAAGAAAGGATGTTAGAGGGATATGAAGATTTTTGTACAACACTATACTGTTAATGCGATGGGAGGGTCAAAGAAAGAAGTGAGGCTGTTTGGCAAAACTTATTTATAGCTTAAAAAAAATCTCAAATCCAACTTCAAATAAATTAATTTTTTAAACTTATTTTTAGCTTTTTGAATAAGTTGCAAATCTGAAATAATTTTACCGAACACCTTAAATTTTCAAAGTACTCCTGGTTAAGCATGGAATTGTAAAATCCAAACAAATAAGTTGCAAATCAGTTTTTCCAAACAGTCTTCTTTACAAGGAGACAGACCACTCCCACGATTTCCTTTTCAACTCAGGGTGAAAGATTGGAAATATTTCTTCCCTCCTCCCGGCCTCTCTCATCCAGTTATACTTGGATAACCTAAAGATAATTTTCACTAACCAAATGACTTTCACAGAGAAGCTTTTACCATAAAATCATTGGGAAAGGGAAAATTATTTTTATTTTACCTACATAGGTGACAATTTAATGGAGACATTTTCAGTCATCGTAGTTTCTTCTATTAAAAGTCAATTTAGTTTCCCATGCCATATTGTTGGAAAAACATTAGTTCCTCTAGCTATGGCTACCTCTTCTCTTCTTTTTAGTCATTTATACAAAAATCTGAATCACATTCCATACATGCAAAAGAAATCCAATGATTAAAGCAACCATCTAGGTCTGCCACTTTGACTATGCCTTCTGTATCTATAGGTGCATAAACTTGCAATGGAGTAGTACTTAAATGTACAGCAAACAAAAAACTAGAAAGTATTTTTACAACATAGAACTATAATGACAAAACATTTTGAGGGTGCAGACCTCATACTGATGGCAGCTGTTATTGTGTAGGCAACCCCATATCCATAATAGCTCTCTTGAACCAAAGCTCCACACACCCACATGCTCTTTTCTCCTGAAATACAGGTGCTTGGGAAATGATTTTTTTAAGCTTTTTAGGCTAAAATTTATAAAGACAAAATAAATTAAAATAGTCAAGGGCAGTGGATTCATTGTTTTTTTCACCTGACCCACATAGGAGGTGAAAAAACAGTAAAGTTTCATTAGGCTACAAATATCATTTTCCCAAATTTGTGATAATATAGTTTGCCATCCCTAATAGTCACTTTAGTCCTAATTGGGTTGACAATTTTTTTAAGCATAATGCCATAAAAAAATTTACAAATTGTTATTAATCAATAATGTAACACTTACAATATTATTGAGATAGTCCTATTTCAGTTTTCAAAGTTCTAATATTGCATGACACATCAAATAGTAAGAAAATTTTAAAAAAAGTTGTCAGTTTTATAGCATTTTTTAATGATTCTATACAGAAAAGTGATTAAAGAAAGAAGAAAGAGATATTATTGCAATAATGATACATAACTAGTCCTCACCTAAGTAGGACTTCACAGCTGCAGTATAGGATGGGTTTCTAGCAGGTCCAAATTGTGGATCATGATCTATAGCAATCACAAAGAAGACATGAAACAACTACAGCAGTCACTCCAAAGACCATTATGCACAAAGGACCTGCAATCCAGCCTAGCTGAGCCACACTCCAGGCTAGTGACAGCACTCCAGATCCTATTACCCCTGTTATTACATGGGCAATTGCTGTCCAAACAGTCCCTTCACATTCAAAACCAAACCCAAAATATATTTAAATTGGTTGTTTATTCTGTCACCATTGGATTCAATTCCTCATAAACATTCAATTGGATATGCATTCATATAGATACATACATACCTGTTCTTATCAGTGGCCCATTCGGCTGTACAGAAGATGATGATGGTGGAGTATCTAAAAGCAATGGAATGGCCTGTTCATCTTCTTTGTCGGACATGGCTATTACAGAAGTGCTGAGTTTTTTAGATTGAAATGCATTTGTTGAGGAATTTGAAGGTATGGTTTTTGGGTAGTTTAGCTTATCTTATCTCCCATTCTTTACAAGGAACCCACATCTATCAGTCAAAGTATCAAACAATTTCAAAGACGGAAAAAAGAAAAAAAGAAAAAAAAGAAGAAGAAGGTATTGTAAGCATTGCATTATATTCAGGGGATTTCTAGTTGTTATAGATATTGATGATTTGCAAAACAAAATTTTCAGTCATTCACTCTATTTATTTATTTTTTTTAAAAAAAAAATTAAATAAAAATGACGATGGCTAATGGATTGATATGGTAAAGATTAAAGTATGTAGGTTTTATAGAGTTGGAGTTGGATTTGGACGATGAGTGGGTGCAATTATTGTTGAGCTTCAAAATTTTTTGGAGAAATTATAAATAACAAATCAAATCTTGAATTTTTAATTTGAACAAATGAACCCTAAATTAAAAAAATGAACACAATTTCAACCCTTAGTATATTTCTGTTAATTATTACTCAAAGGAAAGGGTATTCTGGTCAATTTATTACTCGTTCATTGTATATTAATTACACTTTTCACTAATATAATTTGAGTTAAATTTCATTTTAATTTCTATAATTTTAAATTTAATAGTTTGATCCTTACTTTTTTATTTCAACCAGCATAATACCCGTGCCATGCACGGTTTCAAATAAATAATTAATAATTAATTTTAAAATTAAAATTAAACAATAAAAAAATTAAATTGATTAAATTTTAACTATTTTTATCACAATTTCGCTTATGATTTTTTTTTCCCTACCATTAATGCTTGCTTTAAGTTCTAAATAACAATAACATGAATCATAATATAATTATTAAAATTTAAACAAAAATTATGATAAATTATAAAATTGCACTTTTTAATTTTAATTTTAATTTTTAGGAACAAAAACTACACCTATGATAAAATATAAATATATTATTATTTTCTAAGGGTTTCATAATTTTAGTTTGCCATATATTAGATGATATTGTAAACTATGTGAAACTCAATAATTATTATTATTATTTTTTCTAATTACATTTTTTTAGTTTGCCATATAATAGTAATAAAAATAATAATTCATTTGTGAAACCCAATCTAGCAAAAAAATTTTAAATCAAAAAATTGAATAATAAAATGAAAATGACAAACAATGAACTACCAGTGACATTTATCCACTTATCTTTCCTAAAATCAACATTTACCTATTAATTACAACTTTTAGATTTTCTCATACTCACTAGTTTTGACATCTCACATTGGGCTATTTTCTTATTTTTCTCTCTCACTCACCTTTGCTTAACAAATCTTTATAGCATGGGAGTAATTTTTTAAAATTATTTTATAAACCATAATACAAGGCTATGCACGGGTTTAAATAAATAATTAAAAATTAATTTTGAAACTTTAGTAACAAAATTTTTATTTATAAGAAATAAATAAACTATGGTAAAATGTATTTTTAAAAAAGTGTAATAAAATTAAAAAAACTATATTTACAATGAAATATAAATGCATTGTCTTATAAGTTTTGCAATTTCCCAATCATATAATAAATTATATTTGTTAATTTATTAACTACCCGTTGTCTATGTTGTAAAAGTTTAAAAATATGTCTACTTAGGCATAAAATTATAGGCTTTGTTTGGTTTAATTTTAGAATCATGATTTGCGTATAGAGTTATGTTTTGAAAAATAAGTTTTTGAAATGAGTTTTGAAAAAAGAAAATTTATTTAGTTATGAGTTTTGAAAATAATTTTAAAAAGAGTCTTGAGTTGTATTTTGAAATTGTTTCTAGCTTATTTTTTAAAAATATTTTAAAAATTTCTTAATTTTATTTTTTTTAGGGTACATACTTTTTAGGGAGATTTTTTTTAGGGTCCTGATATTAAGATTATATAGCATAAAGGACATGCAATATTTTTATAATGTCTAAGGTCCCTTAACATGGATCCAAAGAAAATTCAATCCAAAGAATTTCTTAGAGAAATTCTCCAAAGAAATTCTGAGAATTTCCTAGAGAAATTCTTTGCCTTTCCGAGAGAAATACATAATCCAATAAGATAACTTAGTAAGAGACAAAGTCGAAACAATAAGCTAGACAGGAACAATCGCATCAAAAAAATAAAAAAGAAAGAAAGAAGAGATTATAAAATGATTAAAAAAAATAGTGAAGAAGATATTGAACGATCACATTATCTAAATACATCCACACAAGGTCCACTATTGACAAAAGGAAAATATGTATAGTTGCTTGCCTTAGAATTTGAACCTTTGGCTGCTTTTCGATTAGCTTCTGTTTTTTCACATCTCTTTTCCTCCTCTTGTGGACAATCATAAAGAAGCAATATAAACACATTTTTTCTCCCATGAGTTGAAGCAGTACGCAAAATAACAAAATACCCTGAGAATTTCTTTGGACCCAGAGAAATTCTCTAAAGAAATTCTGGAAATTTGCCAGAGAAATTCTTTGCCTTTCCCAGAGAAATACATAATCCAATAAGATAATTTAGTAAGAAATGAAGTTTAAACAACAAGCTAGACAGGAACAATTTTCAACTAGCTTCTGCTTTTCCACACCTCTTTTCCTCTTCATGTGGACAATCATAAAGAAGCTATATAGACACATTTTTTTCTCCCAGGAGTGACGTAGTACGCAAAATAAAAAAATACCCAGAGAAATTCTAGGAAGCGAAGGAATGAGCTTAACCATACTAAACGATGCATTTTGTTTTCTCTTCGCATCCTTTTCGGTAAAAACACCACAAAATCGTTTCGAAGAACCACCAAATTGTGCTAGTTCTACAAAATCGGCAAGTGGGTTTTCGGGATAGAAAGTGGGTTTTCTTCCTTGACAGCATACATCACAGTAGAAGAAAGCTTAGTCAAAGAAGACCACCATTTCGCTGATTTTCCAGCGACATTTTTCAAGAAAAAATTGGGTGATTCTAGCGGGATTCTGGCCAGAAAATGGACTTGAAAGGAGAATACAGTAGCAACATTGTAAGCTAGGAGAAAAAGAAGAAGAAGAGAGAGAAGTGCAAGTACCGATCTCTTGCTTTTTTGTAAACTGTGATGAAGAGAGACAAAGTGAAGAAAATGAGAAGGGGAGTGGTGGTGGTGGTGGTGATGGTTGTTTTTGTTGGTGGTGGTGTTCATGAATGTTTGACGAGAGAGAAGAGCAACGGGAGAGCAGCCGGAGCGTGAGATATATCAAATTTCTCTATGATAGATGGGTGTGGAATTGAGGGACCTTAGATATTAAAAAATAATATTATAAATCTCTTCCATTACTAAAAATAGAAGAGACTTTAGACTAATTTTTCTTATTTTTTATTGTAAATATTTATTTATTTTTTAATATGTGTTGTATTTACTACATTTGTGCATTGTATTTTTTTTAATATTTTAAAATTTTAAAATATTTATTTTTTATTTGAAATAAATAGTTTTAATGAGATGTATATAGAAGGATCCATAACAGTTGGCTCATGAGATGTACAGTTGGCCCATAATTGGGATATAACAAAACATATAACAGATATCATCTGAAGCTAAGGATGCCACGAATACATTTCAGAAATATTGGACAACCATTTATTCATACCGAAAATAATAGTTCAGAAAACAGAGTATCATATCATTCACAAATGCAAATAGCTGAAAACAGCTTTATAGAGTTATTACTCATAGTTGGCTCCAATAGCAGACAGATAGAGCAGTAAAGCAAATAAAGCAGGGTAGATAACCAGATAGCCTACGGCGCAAGAACAATATAAAAAAAAATTATTATTTTTTTTTTAAAAAAAATAGAGTTTTGAAAAGAGTGGTTATAAGTTTTGAATTTTTTTAATCCAAATCACAATTCCATAAAAAACCAAATGCTATCATAGTTTCTCCTCTACCAAAATTCACGTATACAAAAGAATAAGAGTTGACTTAAGGATTTATAATTGTGCTAGATACTAAAAGTGACATATTTTAATTGACTCAAAATTTATCTCAACTTGGCCATGACTTAATTATTAGATAATTGTCTTGATCTATGCCCGAGTATGAACCACTTAACTCATTTATTTATTAAATTGGTGAATAAATATATGTTAGTATTTTTTATAATAAAAAAAAATATGCACATGTTTATTCATAGTTATTAAAAAAATTTAAACTTTGATAAAATTTTAATTTATATTTAAAATTATTACATGAATAGTTAAGTATATTTATGTGTGAAAAAACTATCCAAGGTCAACCTAAAATATGGGTTTTGTTCTAACAATATTTTGGACCTGATTTAAAATTTTGATTGGTCAGTTAATAGAAATAGTTGGTAATAATCAATTTAAGTTTATGTTTAAATTATATTATAATTTTTCGGGTTCTGAATAGTATGAACTAATTTGAGGGATAGTACTTGTATTAAACATAAAAGTAGTTTAGAATTTAGGTTAAGATCAATTTTTATGCCAACAATTAAATTTTTGAAGAATTATCTTCGTTTATACCCAATTTATGATCACTTAACTCACTTATTATTATTTTTTTAAAAAAAATTGACAAATATATTATGATTATTTTTTATAACCAAAATAAGAAAATGTATGTATATTTTTGGCATATTTATTTATTGTAAATTTTTTATATATTTATATAAAAAATTATTCACAAATAATTAAGTATATTTATTTATGAAAAAATTATATAATACTTGGTCGACCTAAAATATAGAATTTGTTCTAGTCCTACCTTGGACTCGATTTAAAAATTGATAAATTAATTAGTGAAAATATTTAATAATAATCAAGTTATACTTATATTTAATAATTTGTTAAATTATGATGATTATGAGTTAATAGCCAGGAGCTCTCTAGTCCTCCATGCTGTGGCATATCGGGCAAGCTGTGCACCTCGGACCGGGAAAGCAGCCGGGTACTCAATCCCCTCTGGCGGGCAAATCTGATCATGACCGAACTGGCGCAGGAACCGGAACGGAAAGTAGAACACACAGTGGGTCGGACCAATCAACTGGATCCCGATCAGCCGGGACATGCTATAGCTCATTGTCAGGAGATTGAGCCAAGGACAACGCCAAGCAATGCGATCTGCAGACAAATTGCACATCCAGTCAAACCAC